TTCTAGTGAGAGAACTTAGGCATGTCTTGGCAATCACCCTTATGCTGACATCATCACAGAAGCCCAGATTAGGACCCATTCAAACCCCATAGCCAAAGCTGTGGGGCTACCAACACAATGACCGCAAGCAGTCACTTCCTTCCACTCACATTCACTCAGAGGTTACACATTCCCTCCCCTGGGGGATCCCTGTCCTTAGGAGCCAATGGGGCTCCTCTTCCGTCCCACTGATGGGCCTCTGTCCCGCTGATGACTAACCCTTAGGAGCCAATGGGGCTCCTCTTCTGTCCCACTGACAGGCCTATCTTGGGTGGGTCCTGGGGACCCTACCTTGTCCAATGTCCTGGCCTTGTTCTGCCGCTCTAGCTTGCTCAGCCTGGCACCCACCCACTCAGCCTCCTGCTCCTGCCCGTGCACTGTGAAGGCCAGCACCTGCCGGGCGCAGCATGGCCTGCGTCCGTGTCCCTGCTTCCCTTCCGTCAGCAAGGCCTTGGCAAGCTTGGCATTGCCCTTGGCCAACAGCTTTGTTTCTCTCTTCTTGGCGCTGGAGGAGAGCGATGCCGCTCGGCGCCCACTAGTCTCAGCCCACCGTCCACCGTCCGCAGTCCCGGCGGCTTCAAGGGGCCAGCTCGGTCAGCTTTCCTGGTCAGGGAACCAAAACGTCGCAGCAAGTGTGCAGCTAGTGTTACAGCTCTTGACCGGGGAAAGAACCGAGCAGAACAGCCTTTATTCCTCTGGCAGGCTCAGCACAGCAAGTGTTACAGCTCTCTTCTCGTCTTCTGATCTTCTGCCCACCCCCTTCTCCTCCTGCTTTTATACTCTTGGTAGGACTCCAAAAGAATCCAATCAGCAACAAGCTTTAACATCCAATCAGCATCAAGCTTTAACATCAAATCAGCAGCAAGCTTTAACATCCAATCAGCAACAGTGGGATTCAAAAATTACCCAATCAGGATCGCACGAGCAGGGCAACCGGAAGCAGGCGGCAGCACGCGGGCCTGGCAGTGTTCCCGCAGGCGCGGCCCGGGTGGCACTACCGTGGCCAGGCTCCAGCAGTGTGCCCTCCAACCGGCCCTGCGCAGTGCCACCTGCGGGGATGCAGAGCCACGGGGAGGCGGCAAGCAGCTGCGTCCCGGCACCTGACATTTTCCGGATCAATGGTGTATGATCCTTTTAATATGCTTCAGAACTTAGATTGGTAGCATTTTGTTGAGAATTTTTATACCTATGGATACTGGTTTATATTTTCCTTTTTATATGGTGTCTTAGTTTTTAGTGTCAGGACCATGCTGGCCTTTAGAATGAGTTTAACAGTATCCTCTTCAATTTTTGGAAGAATTGAAAAACGATTGTTATTAATTTTTTTAAATGTTTGGTAGAAATCACCAGTGAAGCCATTGGGATCAGGTCTGGGGATTTTCTTTTTTGGGGAGGTTTTTGATTGCTGATTGAATCTCTTTACTAGTTATGATTCTATTTAAATTTTCTATTTCTTCATGATTTAATCTTGGTAGGTTTTGTGTATCTGGAAATTTGTCCATTTCATCCAGGTAACTCAACGTTTTGTATGCAATTGTTCATAAAACTACAAGCCTTTTTATTTCTGTAGAATCAATAGTGATGCTCTCTCCCTTTTGTTTCTCATTTTAGTAATTTGAATTTTTGCTTTTTCCCCTCAATCCAGCTATAGGTTTGTCCATTTTCTTACTGTTTTTTAAGAACAATGTTTTGGTTTCATTAATTTTCTTTATGTATTGTCTATTTTTTAATTTATTTATCTCTGTTCTAGTCTTTTTTCCTTCCTTCTGCTAGCTTGTATTTAGCTTATTCTTCTTTACCCAGTTTATTAAATTGTAAAATTAAGCGTTGGTTTGAGATCTTTTTTCTTTTTAATACATAATTTAATTTTTTTAAATTTAACCATTATTATTTTTTGTACTTCTGCTCAATTCTGCATGCTGTTATTTTTCTAGGTTCTTGAGATAGTGGTTAGATCATCTAATTTTTTAATTTTTCTCATTTGTATTTCCTAATTATAAGTGGCACTTAGAATTATGAATTGTATCATGTCTGTTATTCACATAGCTATTTTTTCAAACTTGTTGAGAAAATAAGTTTTAGGCATGTCTCTTATAAATAATGTATTCCTGATTCTGTTTTCTATTACAAAATCTGACAGTTTCTATAGTGGTCAGAGGCAAAATATGGCTTGGTGCCGTCACTTTTATTGTGATTATAGTATGTTTAGATTTATTCTAGTTACCTCATCCCATGATGTATATGCAACAGGCTTTAATTTTCATGTTTTTAAACATTTTTATCCTTTCCTATGTATTAGAATAATATTATGCTATGTTTCATTTTTACTTAGAGTTTTTTACAAATATTTTAAAATTATTCATTTCATTTATCGTTTTCTATTATTACAGTTAAGTTGTTACCATACTTTAAAGCATTTTCTTTCCTATTAAGCAAACAATATCTAAATTGTACCCCAAGAAAACAGCTCCTTCGACTGCTTTCAATTACCCCTTTCCCATCATCTGCAATATGAAAACTATTTGTGAGTTTTAATGCCAAATTGAAATTATTTTTCATCTTTTATATGCCAACAATCATTTTAACTTAGTACTATTATTTAGTTATATTGCTTTTCACCATTCTTCCTTTCTAACTTCCTCTTTCTTAAACATATTACTTAATTTTAATTTTTTTTTAGAAAGGGCCTCTGCAGTGGCATCATTTCTGCATCTATGTATGCCTGAAAATATTATTTTTTCTTTTTGATGTTTATAATTTCAATAAATTAAATTACTTACTTGAAATAAATGCAGAACATTTAGTGTTGTTAATGATCAGTTAAGTATCATTCTTATTCTAGCTTTTTAAACATTCCCTTTCCTTTTTCCTATCTCTTTCTGAAATTCTTAATTACGTTTTTCATTTTTACCCTTTCAGCTGTAAAATTTTATCACATTATATCTAGGAGTTGGCATTTTCTTTTCATTGATTCTAGCTTGAATATTAATATTTTATTCTGCTCTGGGAATTTTTTGTCATTATTTCTTTGGTTTCTATGTCCCCTTGATGCTCCTTTTCTCTTGCTCTGAAGTTATCATTAGATGGATTTTGGAACTTTTGGATCATCTGTGCTTTTACTCTGCATAATCCTTGATGTCTGTGAGCTATTTTCCAGAAAGAAAGAAGCCTTCCCCTCATGTTTTAGCACACACATTTAGTTATGTTAAATCTGTTACCTAATCTATCTTGGTTTCTTTAAAAAAATCACTTAATTTCACATTTTAAATTTCCAAATTCTTAAACTTTTGATGGCATAAAATCTATTATTTTTCTTGTTTGTTTTGGTGAGCATGTACTCCCTACTCTCTCTGAGATTATTTATTATAATTATTTTAGAATACTTTTCTCTTTGAGTCATACTTTCCTATTTTTATTTTTTTCACAGTAAGTTTCCCTTGGGTAATTTTTGAAGAAAATCAAATCCTATGCTTGGTTTTTTTCTCTAAATGTAGTGTGATCACAGGACATACCGATTTAGGTTGCAGTGCCTGGCTTGGCTGCACCTCCTCAGACATCCTGGGCTTTCCTGGGAGCCCTAGTTCTTCTCCTGAACCTCCTAGCCCGTGCACCACCTGGTGTGCCTTCTCCCTCTGCTGAACTCCTCTCTTGCTGCACTTAAGTTTGGTTTTCTCCACCAATTAACACTCTTTCCTGAAGTCTACACATTGTTTAATCTGCGTGTATACATGTGCCCATTTATTGTGGATTAAATATTTTGAGTATCATCATACCTTTTATATTTATATTAGGGGGTTGGGATAGGAGATAATATACACACATTGTTCCCCTATTTCATTATTTATCTTTTGCATTGACTATAAGAAATATTGAGATAAAAAGAATACATATATGTCATATATCTGAGGAGATATAATAACACTTGAACTGGCTCTTGAAAGATAAATGGAATTTTATTAAGCAAAAAGTTAGCTGTCAAAATCTGAAATCTGGAGGACATTCATCCTATCTGGATATTGACGGATGTAGGTTGCTTCAGTCCTGTCCAGAAATTCTTCTAGATGTTTAAGGAAAAGGAATTTTAACACAGAGACTTGGACACAAATGATAAGAAGGTTTGTTGATGCTACTACCAAGAAATCAGTAATTAATTACACAAAGCTACCAGCTTTGGGACTGGGAAAACAGGAAGGAAAATGGACCTACACGTAGTTCATGTGAGGTGTAAGGACCATGAGTTCAGTATGGAAGAGGCCTCTGAAGCCCTCACCAACTTGGGCATAAGACTGTGTTTCATTCAGAATTATAGTAAATGAGCCAGAAAGAGATTCTTCAAAGCCAGTTATTGATATACTATACTACAGCTATTATATTTCTATCATACACTTTGATTATAACAATTTTCATTACACTTTTTATGGGTTGGATTTCTATTTACCATTTATTTGGATTATTTTAGAAATGTTGGAATTTAAAACATACAAAAGAGATTGCCAGATGAATGTACAATATTCCTTGTACAATATTCCTTGTACATTCCTATGGACTGTACGATAAAACCTAGTGTGCCTTACCTTTGCAAGGGAAGAAGTTGATCGTATGTATTTGAAAGAGTCCACATGGAAGACAATAATAAGAGACCCTTGTTGCAAATAGTTCAGGAAATGTGTAAAGGACATTTAGATGAACAAATGGAAGAATTAATATTTCTGGGGAAAAAAGTGAACTACGAGGTCTACCCTACACATACATTAAAATATAAGAAACTAAAAAAAGAATGAGTTGGGGCTGACATTTGTAACTTCTATACATTTTATAACTATTTGGTTATTACTGATATTTCAGGATGTTTGGGGAACACTTAATGGCTTTCAAATTAAGCTTTCCCTACACAAGACAAGTGCACAAAAAGTCAGAATAGGAAACATATTTTATACTTTATTATACAAAATTGTCAGACACAGAGAGAAAATGAATAAGGAGAGGTGTTTTACCTGAGAAAAATATCAAACACAGCTGTGTCCTAGCATGTGTGGGCAGCTTAGAAAGGAAAATTCTCTAGGGTAATAGGACTCTAGAGAATGTTTTAAATTTCCTTTTCGATTTTTCTTTAACCATACCAGCACCGACCTGCTTGCACTTCTTGCTTTCAGAAATTCCTGTACAGCCCATCCTTAATCAGAGGCAGGAGTATAACATCAGGGCAGGATCCAGTTTGGAAGGTGATGGGAGTGATTCCCAGTAGGTGCAGCCTACAGGGTGTCTCTGGGCAATGCCTCCTCCCACTGCCCAGGGAGCTGAGAAAGTGCAAACAAGGGAAGTAGCTCTTGGAAAAGCGCAGCCCCTCTCCGGCAAGTCAGTGGAAGGTATCCTTAGGGTTTTGAATAACAGATCACACAATGATATAAAATGAAGAAAATAAATGTTTTTAGCAAATAAAGGAGAATATTATCTACATTAAACATGAACATGCAACCATGAAAAACAACTATTTGGTCATACTGTGTAGATTCGTCCACTATCACTCAATAATCCTGTTATAAACAACATCTTCACTCAGTTGTTTTCCAAAACAACTTTCATTTTTAGTGCTCATGTATTTGTGTTTCAACTGCAATTGGATCCCAGCCTTGGGCGCCTGCTGGTCTTGTTTGTACCTCTCCACATTCTCTTGGAGCTGCAGATGTCCTGGGCACTATGTTGAGCATCAGTGAAGTGCAGTAAGCTAGCCCAAAGATGCACATGCATAAACGACTTTGATTATGTCATGTCCACTAATATTCCACTGTGAAAGGAAGTCAAGGAGTAGAGAAGTTAAATCTGTTTACTGTGAAGCGATACTAAAGGTCTGAGCATAATTCTTTTAAAGGGAGAAATAAATAATTCAGGGTGCTGATTTAATTATAATGTCTTCCCACTTGCCCTAAATTATTTATATTATTTCCACACACAGCATACCCTGACGCCTTTCATCAGGCATTCCAAAATCTCATCCAATTGTGGCATCAGGCCTGATGCCCAGTATTATGGGATCTGTGTCATGTTCAGATCCTCTAGATTAAACATGATATACAAAAGATCAGCTACTTCCTCTAACCCAGTCACCTGCTCTCTCAGTAAAACCACAACACATCATCATGGAATAAAAATGAAGCAATTTTACTATTTGGTTTGGAAACATGATGGATGAAGTAATGAACTCAGTGATGATAGAAAACCACATGGATAAATTCAGAGAGTGAGTAGTAAGCTTAAATTTGATGTTACAGAGCTCTCCTAAAGACACCAGGAAGGGGTAAAGAGGTGCAAAGAAATACAAAAATATTGTGTTAAGGAGTATAGAATGAAACTGTCAGCATCTGTAAAATAGAATTTTCAAACACTGAGAAAATGTGTGTTTTGAAGCTGTTGAGTGAAACACTCTGTAAGTGTCTGTTAGGTCTGCTCGAGCTATGGTGCAGTTTAAATCCAGTGTTTCTTTTTTGATTTTACGTCTAGATGATCTGTCCAGTGCTAAGAGTGGGGTGCTGAAACTGCAAACTATTATTATATTGGGGTCTGCATCTTCATTTATATATATATATATATATATATACATACTGTCTCTGATACTCTAAGAAACATGGTTGAAGACCTAGTCAGTATGCCTTGTTTGTCCCATGATGTCTCTAATAGAAATCTGTAAAGTAAAAAAGTTAGAAAAAGTTAATCATATTACCACCCAACACCAGGGCAGCCAGATATATATAATATATAATATTATATAGTATATATATATATATATAATATATATATTAGATATAAACGAAGATGCAGACCCCAATATAATAATAGTTTGCAGTTTCAGCACCCCATCTTAGCACTGGACAGATCATCTAGACATAAAATCAAAAAAGAAACACTGGATTTAAACTGCACCATAGTTGAGCAGACCTAACAGACACTTACAGAGTGTTTCACTCAACAGCTTCAAAACACACATTTTCTCAGTGTTTGAAAATTCTATTTTACAGATGCTGACAGTTTCATTCTATACTCCTTAACACAATATTTTTGTATTTCTTTGCACCTCTTTACCCCTTCCTGGTGTCTTTAGGAGAGCTCTGTAACATCAAATTTAAGCTTTACTCACTCTCTGAATTTATCCATGTGGTTTTCTATCATCACTGAGTTCATTACTTCATCCATCATGTTTCCAAACCAAATAGTAAAATTGCTTCGTTTTTATTCCATGATGATGTTTGTGGTTTACTGAGAGAGCAGGTGACTGGGTTAAGGAAGTAACTGATCTTTTGTATATATGTTTAATCTAGAGGATCTGAACATGACACAGATCCCATAATACTGGGCATCAGGCCTGATGCCACAATTGGATGAGATTTTGGAATGCCTGATGAAAGGCTCAGGGTATGCTGTGTGTGGAAATAATATAATAATTTAGGGCAAGTGGGAAGACATTATAATTAAATCAGCACCCTTAATTATTTATTTCTCCTTTAAAAGAATTATGCTCAGACCTTTAGTATCGCTTCACAGTAAACAGATTTAACTTCTCTACTCCTTGACTTCCTTTCACAGTGGAATATTAGTGGACATGACATAATCAAAGTCGTTTATGCATGTGCATCTTTGGGCTAGCTTACTGCACTTCACTGATGCTCAACATAGTGCCAGGACATCTGCAGCTCCAAGAGAATGTGGAGAGGTACAAACAAGACCAGCAGGCGCCAAGGCTGGGATCCAATTGCAGTTGAAACACAAATACATGAGCACTAAAAATGAAATTGTTTTGGAAAACAACTGAGTGAAGAGTTGTTTATAACAGGATTATTGAGTGATAGTGACGAATCTACACAGTATGACCAAATAGTTGTTTTTCATGGTTGCATGTTCATGTTTAATGTAGATAATATTCTCCTTATTTGCTAAAAACATTTATTTCTTCATTTTATATCATTGTGTGATCTGTTATTCAAAACCTAAGGATACCTTCCACTGACTGCCGGAGAGGGGCTGCGCTTTTCCAAGAGCTACTTCCCTTTTTGCACTTTCTCAGCTCCCTGGGCAGTGGGAGGAGGCATTGCCAGAGACACCCTGTAGGCTGCACCTACTGGGAATCACTCCATCACCTTCCAAACTGGATCCTGCCCTGATGTTATACTCCTGCCTCTGATTAAGGATGGGCTGTACAGGAATTTCTGAAAGCAAGAAGTGCAAGCAGGTCGGTGCTGGTATGGTTAAAGAAAAATCGAAAAGAAATTTAAAACATTCTCTAGAGTCCTATTACCCTAGAGAATTTTCCTTTCTAAGCTGCCCACACATGCTAGGACACAGCTGTGTTTGATATTTTTCTCAGGTAAAACACCTCTCCTTATTCATTTTCTCTCTGTGTCTGACAATTTTGTATAATAAAGTATAAAATATGTTTCCTATTCTGACTTTTTGTGAACTTGTCTTGTGTAGGGAAAGCTTAATTTGGAAGCCATTAAGTGTTCCCCAAACATCCTGAAATATCAGTAATAACCGAATAGTTATAAAATGTATAGAAGTTACAAATGTCAGCCCCAACTCATTCTTTTTTTAGTTTCTTATATTTTAATGTATGTGTAGGGTAGACCTCGTAGTTCACTTTTTTCCCCAGAAATATTAATTCTTCCATTTGTTCATCTAAATGTCCTTTGCACATTTCCTGAACTATTTGCAACGAGGGTCTCTTACTATTGTATTCCATGTGGACTCTTTCAAATACATGCCATCAACTTCTTCCCTTGCAAAGGTAAGGCCACACTGGGGTTATCGTACAGTCCATAGGAATGTACAAGGAATATTGTACAAGGAATATTGTACATTCATCTGGCAATCTCTTTTGTTTTAAATTCCAACATTTCTAAAATAATCCAAATAAATGGTAAATAGAAATCCAACCCATAAAAGTGTAATGAAAATTGTTATAATCAAAGTGTATGATAGAAATATAATAGCTGTAGTATAGTATATCAATAACTGGCTTTGAAGAATCTCTTCTGGCTCATTTACTATAATTCTGAATGAAACACATCTTATGCCCAAGTTGGTGAGGGCTTCAGAGGCCTCTTCCATACAACTCATGGTCCTTACACCTCACATGAACTACGTGTAGGTTCATTTTCCTTCCTGTTTCCCAGTCCCAAAGCTGGTAGCTTTGTGTAATTAATACTGATTCTTGGTAGTAGCATCAACAAACTTCTTATCATTTGTGTCCAAGTTCTGTGTTAAAATTCCTTTTCTCTAAACATCCTATCTCCC